GTGGCATAAATCCGTAGTTGTACGTATGCGGTGCACATATAAATTTGTATTCCCATACAGACGTACAGGCATTTTGAGCTGCGTGTACATTATGCAATGAAATACTTGCATGTTGAAGATCGATACCAGGTCATCATATAGATTCCGTGGGGTATATTTACCCATACTGATATTTTATTGTCCAATAATTAAAAAAAGTAAAATAATTAACACCCTTGTTTGGATTTACTATAGAGCTTATGTTTGTTATCACTGCCCTTTTAGACAGACCACTTTGAACGACCTGAGAGATTGAAACTGCGTGTTCTTTACTAAATAGCATACCTCACCCCCCCCCCTCACTCCCAACAGTTTCAAGCAAAGCATTCCAGGTCATTACGTGACCAGGCAAAACTATTTGATAATCTCAGTATCTAGCGGTGCTATTTTCTTTCTATCTGTGTAGGAAATCATGCACACTGTGGAGAAAATGGTGTGGCTGGTGTCGGTGCGATCAGAAACCATACGATGAAAAACCGTGCAATTTCATCATCCCGTATTGTGATGGAAATTCATTCAAGCCGGAAATTATACCTCCAATTTTCTCCGCAATGAAATTCGTCTACATTGAACAGTAACGCTTCAACGGGAGTGAACCACAGAACTCAGGCGTGTTGTTTTCAGTTATTGCGAGATTGATGAGCATAGCCGTTCAGTCGATCATAAGGATATAAGCTAACCAATAAGCTTGAACGTTTACTTGTGTTCTCCTATTCCAGGATCGTAAGAACCGTCATATGTCATACAAGTGTGTGCGATATTTACATCGCATTGTTTTGTTTTGCCAACGCCCAATAGAGTTGAGCCCAAAAGGCGAACATTTGTGGACCTGTTTGCACTTAATTCACTTTGTTTGAAAACAGGAGTTGACCAATGTTATTTGTCTGTACCATCTGGAAGGCGGGGGCGAATGATAAAGCGTATCGCATAAGCCAACCGCGGCTATGGTGATCATTTGTGAACTAGGCAAACCGTGTTCTCGGACGGATTAGCTACTTTCCACTACTATAGATTTACCGGGACATTCTTCTTCATCCTGAATCAGACTGCTTAGAAATTGTATGCCCATTTTTGAGTGAAGTTAACTATACCTAGAGACGTGTTCTCAAAGAAGAGCAACGATTTACACACTTATGCAATGGCTCGAATTACTTCATCTTATTTCGAACCCGGAAGCTGTGCATGTTCAACGAATTCACTGGTATTTCAACCCGGGCTTTGAGAATAACCAATTAAACGTGTTTTCCGCTTGAGATATTCAGGTTTTTTCTCACCGGTCTACCAAACGTTGATACTACATCATTATCGTTGAACGCACTAGACCCCGTGAGGTAACAATCGTCTACCTGTTGTACAGATCGTCAACGGGGTTCCACTAGGATTGATCCGGCATTCTTCATCTAATAAGCACCCATTTACAAAAATATTTCTCCATTTCAACCCATGCTGAACTTTTAATATCTGTATATGGTGTCCCTATTATCATTTTCAAACCTTTTCTTTGTTTCTTGGTTAAGGGATTAGAAGCATATACAGAATTAAAGATTTACACAATTCTGCAAACAACCTTCCTCCAACTTTAACTAAACAACAGCAGTAACCCGTCGATTCATGCTTGCTATCAACCACTTGATACTATTTTGGGGCGTCTTCCATTCCCCTTGAGATTTGGATAGTTCATTCAAATCTACTTTTCTCTTGAGCTGATTCGATAACTGTTTGATTGGATTGGGATCAGGTGATCGAGGTGGCCACGGGATCGCTTTATCTAGCGTGGTGCGCATAAAACTCGCCTTCAACAAGAGAACCGAGTGTAGGCGTCCTCCAGCCTGGCAAAATTCCCTTGATGCTTGTGTTCCCCAAGAACAAAATGTGCTGGATTGAGAATTCCAACTAAATTCGATCTCTGGCGATGCCGTTCAGAAATGCTAGCTCGCTGCAACCTGTCCAACAAACGATCCTCCAGGCAAGCAATGGAACTCTGTTGTGCTGCATCGTTGCTCTCTCGTATGTCTTTTGGTTCTCAGAGATATGTTTCTGAATAAACTGGTGAAAATAATTCTGAGACCACGATA